GAGAGAGAGAGAGGAGAGAGAGGGGGGGCAGAGACAGAGGAAGCGACAGAGACGAGAAGAGTGGGAAGGCAAACAGAGACGAGTGAGAGAAAGAGAGAGAGAGAGAGAGACGAGAGAGAGAGAAGAGATCTCTAAGAGCGCAAAAAAGAGTGAGCTGATAGAGATGGGGAGCGAGAGAGAGAAAGAGAGGAGGAGGGAGCCAGCTCTCTCCCTCCGTCTATATACATACACACACACGCCGCACACGCACGCCCACACGCCATACTTACGTGCCGTTGTATATACATACGCAACACGGCGGTCCGCCGCACACGCATGTTACTCGGCATACGTACACACACGCTGCACACACGCATGCTATCCATACGTTACACACAAGCGACACGCAATGTTACTCGCATAAGTACACACAACGCGCACACGCATGTACTCACATACGTACACACGCGCGCGCAACACGCATGCACTCGCATACGTACAACGGCGTGTATATACTTTCATACACACACGCGCGTGCACAGGTTATTCTGTCCACTCGGACCATTACGTACGCTTGCGTGTATATACAATCACACACACGCTGGGGCGCGCACGACGCAATGCCACTCGCATACGTACGCTGCGTGTATATACATACACACCAGCGCGCTGCGCACACTGTATGCACTCGCGCATACGTACACAACACGCCGCGCGTGCACACGCATGCCACTCGCATACGTACACACACGCGCGCGCGCCACACACGCATTGCACTCGGCATACGTACGTGCCGTGTAATACATACACACGCCGCTGCAGCACACGCATGCACTCGCATACGTACGTACATACGTACGTCTATATAATACACACGCGGAAGCGTGCACGCGCATGCACTCGCATACATACACCACTGCGCCGCGCGGCACCAATGCTGTGCATTCTCCATCCCTCTATTATATAACTACTGCGAGTATTAGTGATGATTTTCACATCATTAAGTTGGGTTCGCATGGCCATTTTCGCTGTGGGAAAGCTGGGAAAGGGGATGCGGCGAGAGGAAGCTGGGAAAAGGGATTGCGCGAGGAACGGTTATGCGAATCCAGAAGCTGCAGTAGATGCCAGAGGAGAAGCATACCTACTGTAGCAGAGAGATAGAAAGACGGAAAAAGAGAGACACCGGAGAGAGGGGGACAGAGGGTGGGAGAGCCACAGGCAGAGAGGAAGAGGATGAAGGAGAGAGAGAGAGAAGGAGAGGGGACTGCACGGAGAGAAAGGGAGAGGAGAGAGAGAGAGGGAGAGAGGGGGGACGGGAGAGGAGAGAGAAGAGAGAGGAGAGAGAGAGAGAGACGGAGACGAGAGAGAGAGAGAGAGAGGAGACAAAGAGAGCGAGAAAGAGAGAAGGATGAAAGAGATAGAGGATAGAGACTAGAGCGAGGAGAGACAGAGAGAGACAGAGAGAGGAGAGATAGGAGAGAGAGAGATGAGTTAGACGAGAAGGCTGAGAGAAGAGAGAGACTGACGATGCAGAGAGACAGAGACAGAGACCAGGAGGACAGAGACAGAGGAACAGAGACAGAGACAGAGACAGAGGACAGCGAGACAGACAGAGACAGAGACAGAGACAGACAGAGAAAGAGACAGAACAGAGAAGAGACAGAAGGACAGAGACAGAGAACAGAGACAGAGACAGAGACAGAGTACAGAGACAGAGCGGGACAGAGATCAGCGAGACGAGAGACTCTAGAACAGAGACAGAGACAGAGACAGAGACAGAGACAGAGACAGAGAAAGAGACAGAGAAAGAGAGAAGATGGAAAATAAAAAATATACAGTATGTGGATGGGTAGAGAAAAGAAGAAGGAAGCTGAAAGGAGAATGTACGGATCAATCATGCGTGAGTGTCTGCGTGCGTGTATGCGTATACATGTCTGCGTGCGTGCGTGTATGCATGCGTGCGTACGTGCGTGTATGCATGCGTGCGTACGTGCGTGTATGCATGCGTGCGTGCGTGCGTGTGTACATGCCCGCGTTCGTGCATTCGTTCGTGCATTTCCGCGTACGTGCATGCGTGCATAGCAGCGTGCGTGCATGACCGTGCGTGCGTGCGTTCAGACGTGCGTGCGTTCATCCGTTCGTGCATGGCCGCGTGCGCGCGTGCACGCCTGCGTACACGCGTTCACGTGCGTGTGTGCACGCGTGCGTGCGTGCGTGCCAGCGTGCAACAGGACGCAATCTCACTCTCAAACCAATAGAACTCCCGTCGCCGCACGAAATGGCTAAGCTACTCCCACTACTGTCGACTCCGCCGTACAGCATCCCGTTGCCACGGCAGCGGCCCGATCCCGACGATAAAGCAGTGCTTGCGCAGAGTGGAGGCAGAGACCAATGTTACACACGCCAGTCAGTATGGCAGTCAGGCTCCACATTGATTATTCTAGTTCTTCCCCAGCGCAAGCAAAGCAGGCCCAGTGTCCCGCGTTTCACTGCGAGATCCTCGCTGCCAATATTGCTTCTAGCAAGAGCGTATAAAGAAGCGTATATATATATAAGCACCTTCTTTAAATACGCTATTGCTTCTATTGTACTAGTGCGTATATTGTGTGTGAAGAAATCGGAGGGAGAATGAGAGGCGAGAGAGGGTACTAATCACTAATGAGTGGGTACTCTCTGTGCGAAGTCGATGTCAGGACCTTTCCACCTGCCAGAAAACGTTTCCATTTCGCAGTAAAACCTGATGGTTAAATCAGGAGTCTATTGATAGACTCCTGGTTAAATCATTAAAGATCATTAAGATGATTAGATTAAGATTAAGATTAAGATTAAGATTAGATTAAGATCATTAGATCATTAAGGTGAAAAGCACAAGGCATGAGAATCTGTATCTGTATAGGAATCGCGGCAGAACGAAATTCTCGAGTAAAGAATTTTCATACTGACGTTGATTTGAAGAAGGGAATTCTTACATTATTACAAGTAATTATTATATATGTTCTTGTTATTATTATATTATTACAGATCGCGCAAGCCACAAAAATCGCGAGCGACGGTGAAAAATCGTTACAATTAAAAGCGACCATTTAATTAATGCCTCACACTATACACTTCGCCCCTCTTTTGCTTTCTTACTCGCTCATTTCTCTTTCTCTCTCTCTCTCTCTCTCACTCTCTCTCTCTCTCTCTCTCTCTCTCTCTCTCTCTCTCTCTCTCTCTCTCTCTCTCTCTGTGAGCTGGGCAGGTGCAAGTGTCTGCCTGCTGTACGAAATCAGCGATAATTGTGCGAACGGAGAATTATTCGTCGTGCGACAGAAGTAAGTAGCACGCGAAAACGAGCTGACGAAAGGACGTGGAGAAAGTAAGAGAGAGAGAGAGAGAGCTAGCCCGCAAGGGAGAGCGAGCGCGAGAGAGAATCGAGTAAATGTCATCCGAAAGCATTAGCAAGAACCTGAGAAAGAGAGAGAGAGAGAGAGAGAGAGAGAGAGAGAGAGAGGGGCAGAGACAGAGGAAGCGGCAGAGACCGAGAGTGGGAAGGAGACAGAGAGAGTGAGAGAAAGAGAGAGAGAGAGAGAGAGAGAGAGAGAGAGAGAGATCTCTAGAGCGAAAAAAGAGTGAGTGATAGAGATAGGGAGCGAGAGAGAGAGAGGGAGAGGGAGCCAGCTCTCTCCCTCCGTCTATATACATACACACACACGCGCGCACACGCACGCACACGCATACGTACGTGCGTGTATATACATACACACGCGCGCGCGCACACGCATGTACTCGCATACGTACACACACGCGCACACGCATGTACTCGCATACGTACACACACGCGCACACGCATGTACTCGCATAAGTACACACACGCGCACACGCATGTACTCACATACGTACACACGCGCGCGCACACGCATGCACTCGCATACGTACGTGCGTGTATATACTTTCATACACACACGCGCGTGCACAGGTATGCACTCGCATACGTACGTGCGTGTATATACATACACACACGCGGGCGCGCACACGCATGCACTCGCATACGTACGTGCGTGTATATACATACACACGCGCGCGCGCACACGTATGCACTCGCATACGTACACACACGCGCGCGTGCACACGCATGCACTCGCATACGTACACACACGCGCGCGCACACACGCATGCACTCGCATACGTACGTGCGTGTATATACATACACACGCGCGCGCACACGCATGCACTCGCATACGTACGTACATACGTACGTCTATATACATACACACGCGAGCGTGCACGCGCATGCACTCGCATACATACACACACGCGCGCGCGCACAATGCTGTTGCATTCTCCATCCCTCTATATATACTACTGGTATGTGATTGATTTTCACATCATTAGTTGGTTGCATTTGGGCCATTTCGCTGTGAGGAAGCTGGGAAAGGGATGCGGAGGAAGCTGGGAAAGGGATGCGGAGGAATCCAGAAAGCTGCAGTAGATGCAGAAGAGAAGCATACTGTAGCAGAGAGATAGAAAGAGGGAAAGAGAGACACGCGGAGAGAGAGAGAGGGTGGGGAGCCACAGGCAGAGAGAGAGAGAGAGAGAGAGAGAGAGAGAGAGAGAGAGAGAGAGAGAGAGAGAGAGAGAGAGAGTTCTCTCTAATGAGAGACTTAGAGTTGGATCCCCTCAATCCACGCTCCGCGAAGTGACTCGGCTAAATCACTGCGCCTCGTCGCGCATCGTTGCCGTGGCGATTGCGGAAACCCTTGAGGAGATTTACACCAATGTTCAGCTTCACCAAGCTGCATCCATATGTGTAAGCTACTAGCTCCATATTCACTGATCAGAAATGCTATTGATCTCATACAGCGAATGTGCGGTGTGGCATTTTGTGTGTAACGTCCCCGTACCCTCCTCTCTCTCTCTCTCTCTCTGCATACCCGTCACTTCGCTATATCAATTTGCGAGCGCTTTATTGCTTTTAGTAAATGGCAGAGAAGCTCGCGCGATACCGACGTGCGTTCTGTACTAATTGATTCGCTATTAATGCTGTTGCCGTGCCGACCTACGACCTTGACCTCGGTGTTTGTTTTGCGTATATGTCGCGGGTTCGGCAGACCTCGCGTCGGACATGATTCGGAAACTAGTTTTGTATCGATGTTCGGCCGAGCGTGGTTTGCGTGCGTCGGCCGGCCGTCGGCAGGAAATCTCCGATGATTGATTTTTTATCGCGGATTTTTTGGAGCAGTTGTTGTGCCGTCTAGCCACTGGCAAATTTAGAGATGGGACAAGAGGAAGGGATGTAAAGACCAAGCAATATGTAGATAATAGGGAGTAGATACCAGGCAATGGGGAGGGGGGTCTTGCTGGATCAGCATCTACATGTACAGGCTTCCTCAGCCGGGGATAGGGAAAGGTCTTGGGTCCGTCTTACTGCTATAAAATTGGACGGTATTTTTCGGGTGCAGTGAGAAGTAAATAGTACAAGTAAAACAGTAACACTAAAAGCAGGAAAACAATAAGTAAAATGGAAGTTCGAAACTCGAAATGCAGTTTTTTCGCCCTCTTTCTGGAACTCCAATCCCCCGGGCTGCAAAAGCAATACATTCCCAAGAAAAACCGTCGACCAAGGCTGTGTGATCGGCAAAGAAACCTGGTGATCTGATCTAGCAATAATATCCAAGGGGGCGTAGCGCCCTCATTCAGACGGATAGGGCAATTGATTTGTCCATCTGGGCGAGATAAACATGAGTATTGTTGCTGTGTCGGTCAATTTCACCCAATTTACACGCATTTTTCACACGTGTACACAAAATTTCTCATTTTTGTGGGATAAACTTGGATATTGTTGCTCTGTCAGTTA